GAGCAAAATGTTTGGGGGGGGGGGGGGGGGATAGAAATAGAGGATATAAAATAATGGAAACCTGCAATGCTAAACTTGATTCTATTTGCTTCTTCATAAATGTAACATTATATTTTTGTATTTAGGTGTCAAGTGGCAAATAAAACATGTCCTAGAAATTATGCATGGAATAATCATTTGTGCAAATGTATAGAACAACATGACACTGGGTTTTCATTACATCACGAGGAGTCAGGTAAGAGGTTCCCACCATGCTGAATGCATTAGGAGAAAATGAAATTAATTATTTGCCGTACTGATGATGCTCATTTCCTTAGAAAGAAGAAAGTTTCATCTGCAGGAGAATTATCATGTTTATAACATTTATGGTACATACATCATGTACAGTATAGGATAATTAGGCATATTAGAGGGTGGTGACGTAATATCACATTACTGCTCCATGCTTTCATTATTATGAATAATGTGTGCATTATAACATTTTTTTTGTATCATCAAGATAAGAAAATTACAGCAAAGAAATATGATCCATATTATATTCTATATATTAACTGTCTTGGTTTGCCGTACATGCTCATCTGTCCATTTATTTCAAAGAACAGGCTTGTAATTATTCTGAAGACATTTTATTAGCTCAGATCACAAGCGCTATTGCAGCTAAGTTGCACTAACAATTCCATTTAATGTGCAGCATCACAATGACATGTTTTGTCAATGGCCAATTGTTAACAATTACAGTAAACCCAGTTTGCTAGCAGTTGCCCCAAATCAAATAGAAATGCTTATCGTCAGTACATTTTGCATTGTCTTACACCATAAAAATGTTACTGGTTAAAGAAACAAGGTGGTGTCTCATGAAGTGTAGGTCAAAAAAATATACTGTATAACCACAAGCATTTGGTCACTCCTCCAAATTGGGTTCCAGTGTTTCCAGTAAAGTTTACTGTTAATACTACAGCATACAAAGAGATTTTAGACAACAGTATACTTCCAAATGTGTGGTAACAGTTTGGGGAAGGCCCTTTCTGTTCCAGCACAATTGTTCCCAAGGTTCATAACGACATGGTTTGTTGAGTTTAGTGCAGAGGAGCTTGCAGGCCAACTCTTGTTAACTAGCATCAGTACGTGACCTCACAAATGCTCTTTTGACATAAATTCCATCAGACACACATGGTGACCTTATGGAAAGCATTTCCAGAAGATTGGAGAATGGTATAGTCACAGGGTGTGCTATCATTGTTGCAACCTTATATAAATGCTGAACTAAAAAGTCATAGAGGCTTCCTATGCACATATAATGGCATGTTCCTGACACCTATTATGTACCAAAAACCTGAATTAATGCATTCCTGGGTGCAATGTAGTAAGACATATAGTCAGAGGTGAGGTGCTCTGTTTTTTTGGATCCTGATCTTATTGACAACGGCTGCAAACTGTACGTACGTCTGTACGTCTCTGACTTGTTTGTCCAATGCAGAAGGCAAAGTTTACTTCATATTTCATTTGTTCATTTATGTTATTTTGGCTTAATCATAGATTCTGGTGAGGAATTTCATGATATTTGTGGACCAAACAAAGAATTGGATGAAGAAACCTGCCAATGTGTTTGCAAAGGGGGATTGCTACCCTCCAGTTGCGGCCCTCATAAAGAACTGGACCGGACATCTTGCCAGTGTGTGTGTAAAAATAAACTTCTGTCCACTTCCTGTGGAATAAACAAGCAGTATGATGAAGAGAGATGCCAGTGTGTCTGTAAAAAGACCTGTCCAAAACACCAGCCACTGAACCCTATAAAATGTGCCTGTGAATGTGTAGAATCAGTAAACACATGTTTCCTCAGAGGAAAAAGATTCAATCATCAAACATGCAGGTAAGCAGACATCAAGACTGGTGCAGTGTTTGCCATATAATGGACTAAAGCGTGTAGTACATTAAAGATCAAAATAACAAAAATATTTTTAACTTAAAAAAAAACTATAAAACTATAAAATGTTTAAAAGTAAAGTAAGATTCTTCAAAAGCAGCAGAGAAGAAAAAAAACAAACAATTTTAGTAGAATAGATCAAGGCTAGAACGCCTTTCAGAATTTGTTTTTGTCTATCTCTGTTACATATTTTTCATCACTCCCTGTCTACCTAAACTGTTGTCAGCAGGACAGAAAATGTATCTGAGTGAGCCTCAAATAGCAGTAAATACCCTTTAGGCGTTCTAATTATTCCCCACTCTATACAAAATTTTTTTTAAATTACGTTTTTGACATGTACTTTCAGGTTGTAAGCATAAAGAGGTTTTGGTCAATGTAACTTGAAAGAAAATGGCTTTCCAATGAACTTTGAGTTAGCTAAAAAGAAGCAGCCTGCCATAAGGCAAGATTTGTCTGACTTTGTGCTGTATGCAGGCTTTTTACAACAGAGGGGCAAAGAGAAAAAGGAAAACTTGTCAGGAGCCTAAAACTCCACCTGCTGACTGCAAACAAATTATTAGATCTATTTATTAAAGAAAGACAGGAAGGAGGGAGGGGGGAGTCTCACCCTCTGATGATATAGGTATAGGTGTGGGCTTAAAGAGCAACAGTTTATTTGCAATAATCAGACAGAGTTTAGGTTGTAAAGCTTGTAGTAGAAATCCCAAAACTCAGCAGCTATGTCCCTTGATTTAATTAGCCTCTGACCAAACAAGGAAATTATGTGGGAAAACCACTATATTTTAGCATTAAAGAAGATCTCCGGGCAGAAACAAATAACCCTGCAGTGGGGCTACCCCCGCACTTAACTGCTCATTTTGATGTAGGGTGTAAAATTAAAAAAAGATATACTCACACGAACCTTGGACCCACCTGGCTGCTAGCTCAGTCTGTGCAGTCTTTCACACACTCCGCTCCAGCAGTGGACTGTGCCTCAGTGTCCTCACATCCAATGCACTGTAGTAGACATGCTGGTTCACGGATCAGTAGACTACCGGAGCGGAGGTATGGAGAGGCTGTCTAGCAGCCAGGCGGATCCAAGGTTTGGGTGAGTATATCTTTTTTATTTTACACCCTAGACCAAAAGAAGAAATTAACCGTTGCAGTGCTGGAATTAGTCCCACTGCAAGGGTTAATTATCTTTAAAGAACCCATTTTTATGTATAAAAATGACAAATGCCTATATAAAAAAATGCTCTTAAAATTTCTAGATATTCTTTGTTTCTTCATGTGCATTGCCAATACAGATTGTGATTGATTTCATTTGGCATTCATTACTTCATTTTGCTCTTTTCAGTTGTTACAGACCACCATGTAAGTCTCGACCGAAGCGGTGTGACCCAGGTCTGTTCTATAGTGAAGAAGTGTGTCGCTGTGTTCCTGCATATTGGAAAAGACCATAAATGAACTGATTCTACAGTCAGAGGATATATTTTATCTGCTTCTGAACAGAGGGACGACTTTGTCTTGTTCTGAGTATTGGATCAACGTTTCCATTAGGAACCCTGTTCAGAGTAGAGACAGTGCAATTTGCATCAAGTAAGTCCAGGATCCATGCTTAAAAAATCGACCAAGATTTTTTCCCACCAATTTTAAGGGCTTGAAAGGACATTTTTCTGCAATGACACACAAGCCCATATTTTTCCTGTGATTTTTTTTTATCAAGATAATGACTATATAATTTATTTCCACTAAAAATATTGTGCAGCCTCTTTGTTTATAGCAATATCAATGTAAAAGTGCACTGTGATTAATATTTTTATATCATGTAAAATATGTTTAATAAAAAAAGAACAGAAACTTGTACTATAAACCACCAAATATGCCCTCGAGAGTACCTGTATGTAAAGCGTTTTATTTTTTTACTCTACGCTATCTGTTTTGGATATTATAATTGAGAGACTTAATCCTTATGGAAGATTACCATCAGAAGTGCACTGGCACTAATTTTTTTTCAGGCCTTTTAATGCAACTCTACCATCGTAGCTCATTTAATAGTGTAAGAGAGAGACATGGAATCATCAACTATGTACAGTAAATATTATTTTTTTGTATTTCGTACTTGTTATGTGTCTCTCTCTCTTACTCTGTCTCATTTAACTTAGGTTTAATGATCGATATTTGCCATGAAGGACAGTCATTAACAGCAGAAAATGTCAGTCCCATGGCTGAAAATAATGGATGTTATAGCTAATAATATGTGTTATAATGTAATGAATTAAGTCTACAGGTTGCAGCTGTGTCTATGAAATGTTTCTTTCTGCACTAGAACTAGAGCAGGTGTAATTTTGAAAGCAGCACAAAGCATTTAAAACTAGCCATACATCTTTCAAAAGTAGCCAAAGTGATCTAAAATATTTTGAAAAGTCCAAAATATGTGTTGTTTGCACTTCCAGAAGTAAAATATACCCACTTAGTGGCCATTAAAAGAACTCTCACTGGACAGTGCGGTGCAGTTGAACATTGCCGCAATGTCAGGGGGAAGTCAGATCTCATTATCAAAGTAAAACTTAATCAGAGATGAGTAAAGAAAAGGCTTTTCTATAAAAGCCTTTGCAGGATTCTTGTGGTCTTTGCTCTAAAGGGGACCATGCACCTATAGATTATCTGCTGATTTTCTATGGTCAGATGGAAAAAGTGCAACAGATTCCTCCATCTATGTGGATGGAGGAATTTTCCACTGGGCCAAGCTTCAGTATCTTGCTAGTCAGCCCCGCTGGCTCTCAAAACACCTGAACAATGTCTGCATCCAATCAGATTGTTCAGGTATTTTGAGAGCCAGTGGGTCTGACAAGCAAGATACTGAAGCTTGGCCCAGCAGGAGATTCCTCCATGCACATAGTTTAGCATAGAAGGAGGAATCTGTTGCACTTTTTCCAATTGACCGTAGAAAATCTCCAGATAATCTATAGGTGTATGGCCAGCTTTAGGCAAGGCTTATAAAGTACAGGTACTTGGATTTATTTCTGTAGATAGAATGCTTTCATGTTTTTTGTCAATTTAGGATTCATTTAACTACCCATATGGGTTAAGGAGAACACAGGGGTAGTTACTGTGAATCTTACAGGCAAATGCTCAGCTTCAAATTTACAATGCTTTGTCAAAACACGAAGTTCAGTATTAGCACTGGCATTATTTACTTACATACAACTTGTGAAAGAGATTCTAATTAAAAGGTTGAGATCAGTAGGGATTAGTATGTTACCTAGAATGAACAGATACATTTAAAGTACAAATGTTTACCTCTGAAACTATAGATGAGGCTAAAGTAGTATTAAACTCTGAAACTTTTTTTTCAATAAGGAATCCAGATGAAACAAATATACATTGCCCAGCAAAGCATTGCTTTACATTTTTGCACAAACACTTTCAATCATCATGTTTATGAACAGTTGCTTCCAAGTCTCTCAGCTCAGCTTCACTGAACTTCAAGTCCAAGACAGGATCACAAAGGACAGTGCAGACTCCAGCAACTGTTCATCTACTTGCTTGGAGGAGAGGGGGCCAGGGGGGAGGGAAGTAGCTTGATTTGCTGTGTCTGTGTGTTTGTGCATCAATGTGACAATATGCGTCAATAAAAAACGAACACTTGACCACATTCTTTGGTGTTGCTGGTAACATTCTGTTCTACGGGCGTATGTTTGTGTAGACACACACAGCTTACTGGCACACACAAGGGTGACTGCATAGCACTCTGCTTGAGAAAGGAGTCACTCTAAAACAGGAAGTCAGGACCAGTGCTCAAGGGCCAAGCTGATTCTGCAGGAAACTAAAACTTTTAAACATCAACTTGCAGCATCCATTGTAAGTGATTTCATCCGACTTTGAAATAGCTTAAAATCATTTTGACTTTAATATCACTTTAACATTATTTTAATTGAAATAAAGAATGCAACAATGACCATGTTATTGTTGTATAATTTAATTTTAAATGCAGCGTTTGATCATATTAATCCGCACGTAGATCTTGTAGGTTATACATCAATAAGATCATCAGGACCTTTAATGAACATGAGCTGAACTGCATTTTAGTAATAAGCTTGGACACTGAATTTTCCAGGTAAACAGAAAGATTTAAGTAGTTTTACGAACAGTTATTTTGGGCATATGCAACTCTCATTTCTGACCTATAGCACTTCAGCACTGGCAAAATATTGAATTAATTTGAATTTGATGATTACAACTGATCATATATATGCAGTTTTCCAATAACTGCTAATGTTACCACATGAATCATCCAGACATACCACTTCAAGTGACACTAAACTAAGGAGTTAAACCTTAAAAATGCAAGCAAGTACCTTAACTATTATTAAAAATGTATCTTATTTGTGTATCACTCGGCTGTAGATCCTCAAATCATCTCTTAATTGGTGCTCACACTGCCCTTCCTTCTGGAGGGTGGCTACTTGTGTTCCCCATGGTCCCTGTGTGTGCTGTCTAGTACCCACCGCTCCAAGCTTGCTCCTGTGATGGGCTACAATTTTACATATAGCTTACTAAATTTGTATTGAGACTGTAGCCATGGGACCTGGTTTATCATTTTAAATTGGTCCCATTATATCATAAACAAAATTCCCTTGACTGTCATGTTTAGACATTAAGGTTCTACGTTTAATAAAATGTAATGGAATTCACCTTTTTCTTTAGTAGGTGAACTAATATAAATAGAATTGTGAAGAAAAGTTCAATGCTGGTGTGTTATCTAAAGAATATAATGTAAGTATGCAACTGGTAAATAAACATGGAGGGCACTTTACTTCCATATGTTTCACTGGAATCTTATGTAATTTGGTTCTTTGACCGAAGGCTGTCAGCAATAAACTAGAGGTAGCTCCTTAGGAATATCATGAAATATATTAGAGCTATTATTCTAGAATCGTGGGAGTTGATTTAGTGAATGTGATGAAAATTCACTTTGCAAAGAATATCTAATAAAAATAAATAAAGAATAAACTATTTAGTAAAAAAAAAACAGTATTTTGATTAAATAATTAAATAACCTTAATTTAAATAGTTTTTAAAAAATGCGGAATAGTTTAAACTCCTGTCATGTTTTTATTGCTAGGAAGATATACCCTCTCTATTTGTCTTCATTACTATTCTCACTGGGACATAAAGTAATAGGAAATCCAAAAACAATCAGTGAGGTGACATTTTCCAATGGGAGCACCTGTGCTGATGACAGCTGTCTGACAGGGGATTTCCCTCAATTCCAGTTGTGTCCCCAGGGCAGGAAGTAAAATCTCAATTAAATACACACACTGCATAAAAAAGCATACACACAAAACTGACAGTTTTAAGCATCCCTTACTCTTTCCAAATCTAACCTATATACTTTATTTTTAGTCACCTGAATTAGGAAGGAATACCAAAGTGAAATGTAAATATATGGTGGTGACTGGTGAAATATTGCAAAAAAATGACAATTCTCCAGTTTCTTTCTATTAAAAATATCAGGATTTGAGAAGTGTAAACCCTTAGTAAAGTTTGAGCACAAAATGTGTTTTTAATTGGGTAAATATATCTACAAATCACCAAATCATTTACATTTTTGTCAAACAATAGCAAAAATGAGTGGAGAAATTGCCAGGCAAAACTATGCAATACCAATCACATCTTTTTATGTACTGGAGGTCCCTTTACTGTCTCCTTAGATAACTGCCAGGCAGGGCTGTAGCTACCATGGGGCGAGTGAGGCACTCGCCTCAGGCGCAGCTGAGGGGGCGCAGCCAGGGCCGGCCTGACTGCGCCCACTCACCCGCGTTGCCATGGCGAGCACAGGGTGCCATTGGCAACAGGGGCACCAGGCCAGTGGCCGACTCGGCAGGGAGAAGAGGAGCGGCACAGGCTCCAGCTTTTCCTCGGATCCCCGCTGTTCTGCCCCACCTGTATTTATTATTTCAAAAGGGAAATGTCAGGGGTCTGTTTAGAACCCTAATATTTCCCCAAAGTATTGGGGATC